TATGTAGAATAATTACGATTTTTCGACGGGTAGAAACGTACTAATTACTTGAGCATATACAGCGATCCATAATCTCTGTCAGCATTTATTTAACTCTCCAACTATGTTTTATCGATGAATATCTGCTAGATTGTGTCCGTTCATTTAAAAAAAACTAACTAAATGTTGAAGTTACCGCAGTTTTCGCATGTACCTCTTATGTTTCAATAATATTAATGTTCTTCTTCATGTTTCACGTCTAATCAGAACGGCAAAGATGATTTTCATCTACATAGTTTAGCAATTCGTGTTGCAAGTTTTCTTTGCGATAGGATTCTACTATATATTTAGTGCTTTTATAAAAATACATTTTTTCGAAAGTTGATATAATTTCCAAAGTTATCTACCAATTACATGTTATCATTTTAAAATTTCCTGTTTACCAAGCATTTGAAAGATAAGAAGCTATATTTTTTCTCATATCAAATTAACCGTAGCAGAGCATTTTGCAATACTTTTATTCGTTCTGAAGCTTTATTTTTTTTTTGAACAAAAAATCTCACATTTTACAACACGTGATTGTGAATCATTTTTAAGTGAATTCCAAAATCACGTTAGTTTCACAACTGTTACATCAATTAAAAGTGAAAATACGTCATTTTAAAGCTGATACGCAGTAGATTTTATAATAATATTCGTTCATTTTTTTCAATATCCTCTTTACTACGCTGTGGTATTTTTACAAGATTAATTATAAGACTATTTAGACTATTTGGAATTTCTCTCATTCCTCCTCTAATTCCCTAAGATTTTTTGGCCTACGCAACTGCACGTTCTTTTTAATAATTGTCTAAATATTTTCAACGGGATTTAGGTCTGGACTATTCGAAGGCCAATCCTTAACCTCCCGGACATTTCTATCAAGAAATTCTTAGCAACAATAATATGCTTAGGATCATTGTCCTGTTGCGGCCGCCATCTACCTCGTAACATATCGCGCACTTCTGGTTCCATCCATTATACGCTTAAAACAAAAAAGGCTAGTAGTACCTTTTGCACAAAACCAAAATTTTAATTCGGTCTTTTGGTATCGGACGAATCGATATACCAATGTATTATTGTATTGCGAAATAATAAGAAAGCTGTTTCATCACTTAATAAATTTTATTCCAATTATCTCCTTATGTTTTATTGCCCACTCAACCCTCTTTTGTTCATGAACTGATGTAAAACATTGGTGTACAAAGAAGAAGAGCATTTTGGTATCCAAGATAAGTCATATGTCTTAATACCATTGAGCGCGACACTTTTACTCCTATATCCTCTAATTTAACAGCAACAGATTTAGCAGAAAGAGAAGATTGCCTTCGGAGGTATTGTCCAATTTCTCGGGACGCGCTTACTGTTATTTTTTTAATACGTCCTTTACCACCTTTAGCTTTACATTTCCAGTATCTTGAATTTTTTTAAGGTTTCTAATTGGAATCTTTGTTAATCTTTGTATTTTAACAGCAGTACGTATCACCTGCCTCCAGAAATGTAATATGGCTTGAAACTATGTTTTTTGCTCATTTTGATACTTGATAAAATATAATTTTTTATAAAATGTGAAAGGTTTCGCTTAGAGGTAATAGAGTGATCGTCAAGCTTTCATTATTTGTAAATTTACGCTTGTTGAAAAAAGTTCATTTTTTTTTTCACACCGCTGTATACAACAAATGCAATGCTTTAGCGAACCAAAATAATTACTTGATTTCACTCCTCTTTTAACAGTTTCTTCTAAAGTGGAAAGGACTTTGGAAAAATAGCAGAAGACGTGTTTTTGGCTTCTCTCATAAATGTTCGAAGTTAAAGTAGTCAAAAAAAAAAAAATCGTAGTATCTTACAGTGGTTCACAATCTCTAAAACGGATAAGTGCTTTAGCATTATCTAATTTGCGTAAAATTTTGAATTTTCAACTGCGCAAGATTTTTAATGACTTAAAAATCGTTCAGTTAATTAAAAAAAAAAATTTTTTTTATTAGTCTAAATTTTCTAAATTTACTTTAAAAATTTTAATTAAAAAAACCAAAGTTAAACTTTTATTATTGTCTTTTAACAAACTCGAAAAAAACCCGAAAATTTTATTATATTTAGTAAAAAGCATAATGTTTATATATGAAATCGATAAGGACAAGGACGCATATTCCAAAAGAACATAATCACATGACCGACATGATTTTATGAACGTTTTAATCGGAATTCCCAAAAAAATAAAATAAAATAAAATAAAATTTTACATGAATTTCTTCGTTATAACTATTTGTTACAACTAATTGTCCTCGAGCGTTCTTAATGTTAAACATTATCTATTTTTTTTTATATTGGTATAGCAGAGGAAATTTTCTAGCAAACCTCCCGTATGATTGTTTCAACGTAACCTTGCACTAAGAAAGAATGTGTCGCCAAAAGTAAATGGTATTTACTAATTCAATTTTTTAAAGCAACACTTAATAATATTTATTATGAATTATGAAACAATTAATATTTATTAAAAATGAAAACTTTGACAATATGTCATCCAAATACAATGAACTTGTACAATATTAATGTGAAGTTAAAATTTTTTTTTTTTTAACAGAAATGAGTAAACTATGAACAGTTATAAAATTTATGCTGAAAATAATCATCTAATATAACAATTATATTTTGTCTTTTTAAAATCGGCGTCAGATTAATGTCCATGTCCACCATGTCCACCATGACCATAAGAAGCGTCGCGTTTATAATAATCGTCTCCCTTCTTATCATAATCGTAATCATATTCATAACCTCCAGCGTCGCGTTTATAAGAACCGTGTCCCTTATCGCCACCATTGTGACCATATTCATAACCTCCAGCGTCGCGTTTATAAGAATCGTGTTTCTTATCATAATCGTAATGTTCATAACCTCCAGCGTCGC